GGGCTTCAGCTCACCCCGGGCGGAGGGCGATGCTGAGCCCGACCCGTCCCCCCGCGGAGGCTCAAAGCTTCCCGTGGTGGCGCTGGGGTCTTGAGGTGAAAGGCAGTCCTTGCTCTTCAGCAGCCTGAATTGCAGCCGTACCTTAATCACTCCTGCATGTCACTTAAGACTGATCCTAAATGCTATTTTATAATATACAGAGGAAACAAATGTCTATTTTTCAAAGCTATATTATTGAATGTATATATGTATAGACAGATCAGTAAGTGATGCGAGTGCCTTGTTACCGACCAGTGTTCTCCGGGAGCGGGCAAGCCTCCGGGCACTTTGGCAATAGCCTGCTCGTGCCGCGACTGCAATATTCCCGCTGAGGGGACCACACCAGGCGCCCTTTATGTACAGGCACCAACGCTTGTGCGACCCCAGCTTGAGCAAGCTGCTTCTGAGCGAGTCAGAGAGCAGCTTCTCCATCTGAAATGTTTTTACATGCAAAAGTTTTTATCTGCGTGTGTTAGACGCCAGCGTTTAGCCCTGTGGGTTACACAGTTGCCAAAGTAAAAGCCATATTGCAAAGGAAGCACAAGGTAAGAGGAGCCTCAGTTCCAAGGTGAGGTGATTGTCTGCACTGTTTTAATGCCAGACACTAAAATCACAGCCAGAAAAGGCTCCCAAGCCCTCAGAGGCATAAGCTATGCAATGGGGTGGGCTGGCAGAGCCGCGCCGCTGCCGGAGCCGAGACTGACCCTCTCCGCCAAAGCACCAAAGAGCCGAGCCATGGGCAAAGACCCAAAGCAGGTCCTCGTCCTTAGCCCACGGATGCACGCTCAGAAAATACTTGGGTTTGCTCTTGGGAAGGCAGAGGAACCCCCGGCTACGGGTCTCGCACTCGTGTAAGACAAGGGGAAAGCACCAGCGAGCAGGGGCCATTCCTGGGAAAGTGGAGAATGATGCCAATTAATTAAGGACCTTCCTTGGACAGTTCACACGATGTATTCAAAGGGCTGGAACTTGGATAAGCACTTATTTTTCCCCATTTGAAAACAAGTCCCCCCTTTTTTTCTAGCACACAAGTAAAAAAGCCACTCTGCAGACAGAAGCAGGCTCTGGGAGCTTTCCCCTGCCAGGTGTTGAAGGTTTCCTAAAACGAGCAGAGGTTGCTTCTGCTGCAGCCGGGCAGGGAGCAGCCCATCCCTGAGCTGGTACGGTACAGCTCTGCCTGCTGCCTGCCCCTGCCCACGCTGGACCGGGGCTGTATTCCACCCCTGGTCTGGCATTGAGCCTGGCTGATGCCGACCCCAGCCGTAAGAGTAATGCAGGGGAGGTGGGATGGAGCCTGCTGCCTCCTCTGCCCTTCCCAGCCTCCCCGTCTCAGTTTTCTCCTGCGTGCAAATGAGTTTAATTATTTAGCTACCTCCCGAGGGGTCGCGAGGACCAGGCAGGGGACGGCGGGGATGGGGAGCCACAAAGCAGTGGAAGAAAAAGCACTTGGTGGTGGATTTGTCTCACCTTCAGAAACGCTCAAGCTGGGGCACCCCTGGGCTTGACGCGGTGTTGCCGCTCCCCGCCTGCCTTGACTTCTCTGCCCAACCGACGGCTTAAACCACGTTTCACTGCGCCTGGTATTTAATACAATTTAAATCCTTATTGTTGATACCGCAGCCTACACAGTCTTGCTGACGCTGAGTCGTTATATATGCTTGCTGCACTGTGACAGTATTATATAAAAAAGCTTTGTATTATTAATTACACTTATTTTTGTCTGTTTACATTACGAGCAAATGACATATCAACAGAGAGCTTCTTGCAATATACGTGGGGGAGGGAGGGGAAAGTATGCCAAAGAAATGTCTTTAAAGGGGTCTTTTTGCATTTTTATATAAATAGAATGTTTCTAGCAGATATGTTTTGTTTAATATATTAAAGATTTTCCAATCTGCCAAGATCTACTGTTATTTCTCACAGACTTTGCATTCAAATACGAGTGAGCAGCACACTGCCCTGAACAGCCAGCAGCACTGCACAGACACGAGCCAAAGCTGCGCCTTTGCCACCATTTCCAGCAGCTTCACATCCCTTATTTCACCAAGACGGGGGTAGTTTTCTCTCAGCAAGTTAAGGTGTCTCCTCGAGCCACACACAAACCCATTCTGTTAAAGGAGCTGAAGCACGAGAAGGTGAGACCGTCCCCAGGAGAGCCAGAGACGTGCTATGGAAAACCAGCGCCAGTGAAGGTGCTGGAGACCCTCCCTTGAGCATCGCCCCCAGTGCAAGTCCATGAGCTCACCCAACCTGCTCATCACGCTGCCCTGCAGGACTGGGACTCACCAAAACACCTTCTACCAGAGGCTGCAAAGAGAGAGAATCCAGAAACCAGTCCTGGCACCTGGACTTCTATTTATTTCTAACAGAAATAGAACATAACCCGAAGCAGTTACTGCATAAAAAGCCCCATTTTGGTTCCGAACATGAAATGGGACATAGCCCACTCCTTCGCCACAACCCCATTCCCTTGGGCAAATGGGAAACTGTCCCTGCAGCGTGCGATGGCTCTGTCACCACTGAGTTTCACACTTTTGGTCCCACAGTTCCTGCTGCCCCAGTGTCTCTGGCAGCACTGTTCTCTGAACCACACTGGAGATGACCATCTTCACGGCCAGGCCTTGGCCTTCCTGAAGGCCCGGATCTCTTCCGGGCCCCGCAGGTACTGCTCGATTTCACTGTCGGAGATGGGCTCGTCGCCGGTGATGGCAGAGTCTGAAGCGCTCAGGGCTGCCGTCCGCAGTCTCTTCCTCGGATTGATAAGGCATGGCGGCAGCAAGGGCCTCGGGCGCTTCCCTACCGAGGGACAGTCCTCCTCCTGTGCTGCTGCTCCCGCCGCCAGAGGAGAGCCGGGGGAGCCCTCAGCCGCGGAGCCCTCGCCCGGGGCGGTGGCACGCTGCTCCTCCCCATCCTCCAGGGAGAAGGAGACTTTTTCGGTGTTGCAGCAGGTCCCCGATGTGCTTGACCACAGTTTTCTTGTCCAGGTTAAATACCCTCAGCCAAGCTAGCTGGGAGGCCATTCTCAGGAGAATCTCAAGAAGCTCCTTCAGCCTCAGATGTGCCGGTGGCGGCAGGTCAACACCCGCCAGCTTGCAGAACCGCGCAAAAGTGCAGGTGAGGCGGGCAGCAGGCTGCAGCGACTGCCATGACAGGAAGGCTGCAGCTGTGACAATGGGAACAGGGTGCCGGCCAGTGACCAGCCACGTCTCACTAGCCAGCTCCACGACCTGCATTGTTCGGGTGACCATCTTCTCTTTGTCCTCCAAAAACGGGGCAGGGACGTCAGCTGCATGCTGGAAGAGCCGAAAACTGCAAGAACACAGAGCATCATCGTTAGCACCAGGGCACACGGAAGCCTCACCACGCAGCACCTCAGTAATCCAGCTCAATGTGGGAGATGGCTGCAGTAAGGACCTTTAGGACAAACACACCCTGCTCCTGTGATGGGCTTCTGTTCCTGTTACTGAGCTAAGTGCCCCACTGCCCACATTCCAAGCTGAGGAGGAAGGGGCAGCAGAAGAAGAATCACAGCCCAGACTGTGACAAGGGAGGCAAAAAAGCCATCACAGTCTGTAAAAACGCTGGCACAAACGTGGGCCATTCCCCTCAGCCCATCAGCAAACACTGGTCCTGCTCCTTTGGCTGCTGACGTCCACCTCCGGGCAGTGGACAGAGGTTGTACTACAGTCGCTGGCTGGAGCAAGAACTCGATGAAATTTGTTATTCAAGGGATAACAGAGTGCACTCCCAGATCACGAATTTTAGATGTTGCTGCATCAGTACTGCCACCCCAGCCTAACGGGCTCCCGGTAAATACACCCCTGCCTAGCACGCAGGGCTGTGAGCTGTCCGAGGGAATACTTTTCCACATGATCTGGTTTTGCCTTCGTGCTCTCGGCAACAACATGCCTGTGTAACAGCACAAGTCACCCTGTCTGTGCTTGCGGACCGGCTGCATTTCAGAAGGTTTTCGCCCACCGGTGTCAAACGCAGGACACTGAAACTGCTGAAAGGGGCCCTGTTACCTGTTCAGGTGTGTCTTCACCAGATCGGCCAGGCTCAGGGCTGGCACAGAGAGCCCAAGGTCTTTCTGAAGGCTCAGGTAGACGCTGGCAAACAGCTCCTGCTTCGCGTAAAGGAGGGAGCAGATCGTCCCCATCGTCAGGGGCCAGTTGTGCTGTCGACAAGTCACGAAGACGCAGCAGCCCCCCAGGAGCTCCTTCTTCTCCAGACTGACCAGGTGGAAGGAGGGGTGCTGCAGAGCTCTCTGGAAGTACGACACCGCCGTTTCCTCAAACACTGTTGGGAGCTGGAGGACTTTACAGAGATCCTGGACCCGCCTGATCCCTATGAAAAGACACCACCCTCAAAGATGAGCTCAAGCAGCTTCTGACACACACCTCTCCTCAATATTATGCTGCAGCCAGCAACCACCCAGCCCCAGGTAAAGACACGAGAGCAGTCCAGTTCCTGCAGCCCTGCAGACAGTGTCAAAACATCTCCCAAGTCCCTCAGTGCAGGTGAGGCAGTTTGCTGAAGACAGGCTCCGGCTGGACACAGAACTAACTGCTGCTCTCATGCTTTACTGCCAGCTTCAAAGGCATTTACCATTTCAGAGAGCATTAGAAACATGTTAAACAAACTAGAGCAAGGCAGACAGCAGCAAGAGAGAATCGGTGTGTGAAGGAAACTGAACGGCACGCTCTTACCTCGCTGCAAGCAGCGGCTCTGCTGCTCTTTCTGGCCAGTGCTCTGGGAATACGCCACCTCTGTAAAACAGTGAGTGTTAGGCCAGATAAACTCGCAGTGACTCTGTGGACAGTGACATTTAGATTTTGGGCAACCGGATGGATGCCCACGGTCCCAGATTTCAATCAGCAGAACTGACAGGTCTTTGAGGCCACTAAACAAGAGCTGGCACCACAGGTTAAGTAATAGTGAGGTGTAGGATCCCCTTCAAGCCATGCTTCTCTACAGACAGAACCAGCAAACAACCTCGGGGCTACTCCACTACACAGAAGATATTTAAATGCCAAAGAGCAAAACACCACAGGTTCCACACCTAAAACATGCCACAGAAGTGCCGTCGGTGTGACCCCATAATGCAAAAAACATGCTGCTCTTTTGCTTAGGGAGGCATGGGGAGAGCGGCTGGCCTAATCCTGGCAGCACCCCGCAGTGCCCTCCGCACTGAGGCCTTTCTGACACCAAGGACCTGCAGGCGTGCAGAGTGTGGAAGGACAACGGCTCCTGGCCTGACTAACATGGCAGCTGGGGGAGGGCTTCGTGGCTCAGACCGCCTCAGAATAGTCAAAACAAGCTTTTCAGTGACAGTTTTGTACCAGGCCGAATGCAAACGCTCCCGGGACGCTC